CCAGAATATAATTTACATTGCTGGAATTCTTACAAGATGATGATCATTTTGAATATAAACATCATGGATTTTGCATTAGACATACAAATTTTAGATCTAATGTAATAATTTGGTTTACACAAAGCAAGTATTTTATCTTTTGTGCAAAATATATGAAGTTTACATTCAAAATATTCCCTGACCTGCAAGGAATCCAGAAATGTCAACTATATTATCCTAACTTTAGTGTGAGGTATTATTTATTACTAAACGTTAAAATCTAGTGTTTCACCCAATCATTTCTCAGAGAGGTAGGGGCCAGTGAGCTGGGAAGAGGGGGGGGGGGATTTGTGTCCATTATTTGAATGGACATTAACCTGGCGACTGTATTTCTCTTAAATATTAAATGTGTGAGTATACCATCATAAAATTTAGATGTTATTTTTACTACAACATAGGTATTGTGTCGGAAAAAGTGGAGTTTGGGGCTCGGGCCAGTCTCTATTGGAATTAATCCCATATGTTCTGTTGTTCACTTTACGCGGTACCCTGTGGGTTCAATTGACCGCGTAAATCGGGGTACTACTGTGCAGTATGCACCTGATTTTCACCTTTCAAACCCGTTAAAAAAAAACTCATCCCCAGAATTTTCCAGGTATCGGGACAATTTTCCAGAAAATGTGCCCCTTGAAAAATCGTTCCCAAACCCAGAATTTTCTGGAAAATTCTGGGTTTGGGAAAGATTTTTCAAACTATTTCAATTTCGCCTATTGGAGAGTTCTGGCTAATGGAGATATTGCTGTATTCATTTATTTGCACATGAGTTAGCTGGCTTTGTGAGGGAGGGGAGGACGGTCTCAGAGTGAATGGGGGAGGGGGGAGCATTGCACATGCATCACTGCTATCATCTTTCTTACCTGGCGACTCACATAGAAGGTTCCACTATTTTGTGTTGTGATTGCTGGAGTCTTAAGTGCCACGAAGCATTTACCTTCAGTAATTATACATCATAGCATGGTGAGCAAATTGAGGCACTTTATTTTTAGTGATGTCACTCAGATTTTGTGTTTTGGGTAGTTATTTATACAGTTTGGTCAATCATGGCGACCGCGGCTCGTCTTCTACCTGGGAAGACAGTCGAAATCTAGTGACGAATGATTCTCTGTTACAAGTCAGTTTGTGAATGACGTTTGCTTTTAGCACTTCCAGGCTCGTCTTCATTGTATTTTATTTATTTTTTATTTTAGCCCCAACTATTACCGTGCAAATGTTGTGATGATTTACCATGGTGAATGTGACTATTCCATCCTCCTCCCCCTTTCTCCTCATGTTCGTTCACGAAAAGTTTTGGGCTCCTGCCCTGTGGCATGTGATTTTTTCCTTCCTCCCTGGGTTTTATGATTACTCTTAGCATTCAGGCTGGAGTTAAGTTTTCCTCTTCATAACTCTGTTTTATTCATGTCCTCAGTAGCGGGTTCAGCCCTTCCCCGGCAGACTTTAGCGAGGCTGCTAGTCTTAGTGATCCTTCCGGACGCTGACCTTCCAGTCTTACTAGCAATCTAGAGTTATGTTGGGATGAACTTTGTATCATCAGCCTGGGTTACATGAGAACCACTCAGATGGTGGGATTTCTCAGCCCAATACATCTCGCTAGAGTAATGGCAAATGATGTTAGTCAATGGAGAGCTAAGAAACATAAGAAACATAAGAAAATAAGGAGTCTGCAATAGGCCGGTTGGCCTGTGCATGGCAGCTCCTGTCGAGAGTTACTACCACTCTCTATCATCCATGAATCTATCTAGCCTCCTTTTGAAACTTTCCAGAGTTCCCGCACTTACTACAAAGTTGCTAAGCTTGTTCACTCGTCCACCACCCTATTTGTGAACCAGTTTCTTCCTATCTCCCTCCTAAACCTAAACTTATCCAACTTGAATCCGTTGCTCCGAGTCCTATCCTGCTCGGATATTATAAGAACTTTATCTATATCCCCTTTATTGATTCCTTTCGCCCACTTAAATACTTCTATCATATCTCCCCGCACTCTTCGTCTTTCTAGGGAATGCAAGTTAAGTTTCTTTAACCTATCCTGATATGGAAGGTTTCTAAGTCCCGGAATCATTTTTGTCATTCTTCGCTGCACCAACCCTAGTGAATTTATATCCATTCTATAATAGGGGCACCAGAACTGAACCGCATAATCGAGGTGCGGCCTGACTAGCGCAAGATATAGTTGCAATAAGACCTCTGCACTCTTGTTACTTACACTTCTAGATATAAAACCCAATGCTCTGTTTGCCTTATTTCGAACATTAACGCACTGTTTTCTAGGCCGTAGGTCCGGGCTTACAAGTACCCCTAGGTCTCTTTCACAAGTCGACTTCTCTAGGTTGATGTTGTTAAGGCTGTATACATTATAAGGTAGCAGCTCAGTACTGTCAACCCTTCTGGGTGACTCGATGCTCACTCAGGCATCATCGCTCAAAAATGATTAGTTGAAGTGGTGATGTCTGTGTGACCTGGTTGGCAACAAATAGAGAAATGGATGATCCCTGAAGATATCCTAAGGCTATGAACATACTGAACTCTGTCAGGGCCACCAACGAGTATGATCACACTGATTTCTATGATTGATTCTCAGTTTGAGGATTTACACAGTAGACAATTAAGGTCAGGTAACATTTACCCATTGCCTTCACCTGTTACTAAAGCTAGTGCTTTAACTAACACAACAAAAATGGCAACAGGTGGTTCTACTAACCCACTGCCTACAACGGCCGGTAAACCGGTAAGGCTACTTCTAAATAATATTAAGGTACAAGAGTTTACCGGTGAAGATTCTGATTATACTAGCTTAGCATTTTTGCGTAAATGCGAAGATGTAATGAGAAATAACAATGTAACCAATGACGTAGATAAAATTTCATACGTCCGAAGCCTTATCAAAACCGGTAGTCAGGCAGCTAGAGGTATCTACGCTTCAGCCAATGACGAAGAAACGGATGATTATCCAACATATAGGAAGCAATTCATTTCCTTTTTTGGATCGAGCTCCAAATGAGGTCCACTTTCTTGGATTTTTAAGATGGCAGAGAGGACAGGTGACACTCTGCTTGCACATGAAGCACAAGAAGCCCAAATTTGTGCGGGTCTCACTAAGATAGATGTCAGATCTTACACGGACTCCTCAGATTGGTTCGATGAAAATGGCAACATGTCTAAGGTAAATTTCTACAGAATTATTGAATTTCAACAGTTTATCTTGTCATCAAATGAACCCTTACGCAAGAAAGCCCATAAGAAAGAATTTAAAACAGGGACCAAGCTTATGCATTATGTAGAAGCAATTGCTGAACACAAGGAAAATATTCCTCGGGCGTTGTCAATGGCACCAGTCACCAACTTTAAGGAACAACCACAGTCTGTCACGGGAACCAAACGCAAAAAAATACCTTTTTGCAAAGTCTGCAAACGAAAGAGACATACCACAGAAAAATGCTGGTTTGCAGGACAAGCAGATAAGTCCCCAGCCAGCCAGAGGCAGGATAGAAGGAAAGAATCCTCGCAGGACCTAAGGATTTCAGATAGCCCTGCTAAACCAAAATCTACAAAGGGACATCACAGAGTTAGTAAAATGTCTCCAAACACTATAGGCACTCCGAATAAATGGTGTATAGTACATCAGTCTACATACCACAACACAAAAGATTGTAGAAATGTACAGCGTATGCAGCAAGAATTGGAAAATTGAAGGGAGACAACTATACAGCCTTCGGAGGAAGAAAAGCGCGTCCAGCAACACGATCTAGGATAGCGTCAACGGTTCAAGAAAACAACGCTACCATCACCGGCTCATTAATTGCCGCGTTAAACAAAGTGGAGGTGTTGACTGTACCAGTGAGGATAGGTAACAATCAGTTATCCCTAACTATAGATACGGGGGCCTGTGCCAATGTTATCTCATTAAAGTCGTTCAATGAACTCCAACTGCGATATCCTCCAAATAAGTGGCCAATAAGACCTACAGACATTCCCCTGTCCGGTGAGTCGGGAATCCAATTAGACATAGCGGGGTGATAACACTACCACTCCATTTTTCTAGGTCCAGTAAAGCATTTTTGGCAGATTTCTACATAGTTAGAGCATTTACTTTGCCAGCGGACGGGTTACTTGGTCTGCGCACTCTAAGGCAGAACAACATTAACGTTCAGCCACGAGATCAAACAATCACGCATAATTGTAAAACATATCACGCAATGCAAACTTCACATCCATTGCTTACTTCGGGTGTTCGCAGTGCCGGATTTAGACCTGTGGAGGCCCATGGGCAGCCTCTTTGTGGAGGCCCCCCTCATTATAACTACCCAAGAGGGTGGGGTGGCGAGTGAAGCGAGCCTAAACATCTGGGAGTTCCAGGGGACGCTGTAAGCCCCCCGGGAAAATTTTGAAATTTGAACACTTCTTTGGAGAATTTTGAAGCCATATGCAGTTATATTGAGGAAATTAGAACATTGAGAAATTTTTAATTAACTGTATATTTATTGATAGTGTACAAATTCCCAACACACACACAAAAGTGATACATGACTGGAGTCATTCATGTGGTTTCAGGTCGACCAGCCCTGATATAGCTACTACAGCACATGTCAAAAATTTTCAAGAGACTTCACAGAAAAGAATATATTATTAGTTATTACAGAGAGATGATTCTTTGCATTATTAATCAGATAAACCTCTACTCAAATAATGGTTCTGTCCATGAATGCTTGTATAGGCTTCTTTAAGTCCAAGGTCAGATAGATTCAGAATAAGTATTAACTCAACTATAAATAAAATTGAAGTTTTGCATCCAATAGTAAAACAAATAAACAATTTAATGAATTTGATAAAATTATAACAAAACTATGACCATGTTGGAAAAAACAAGAATTTTAATAAAAATAACTGCCATCAACCATGGATAATGGATTTATTGACCATAAACATTAATCAATTGCAAAATAGAAAATAAACATTACCTTTATTTACAGACCAGGCACTTTAAGTGACCTGGCCGCTGCAAAGTTTTTGATCAACTTTTCGAAGTCAATCTCTCTGAGGATGTCATATTCGATACTCATCAAAGCCAGGTGGCTGAGCCTATCATGACACATTGTAGTATGAAGTCTGTTTTTAATAAACTTCATTTTACTGAAAAAAAGTTCTCCAGAACAATTTGTGACCTTGAGCACCAAGTACATCCGGAGCATTATTTCAACATTTGGAAATGTATCTACAACTTTCTTGTCTATCAACAGCTTGTAAAGGTAATGTGCCCTCCCTTTCTCATCATCTTCGTCTTCAAGAAATTGAGTGAAGAATGCTGTAAACTGCACAAGTTCAACTCCAAGTGTTTGATCCAAATCATTTTTGTACTCAGCAACCAATTTTGCTGCAGCTGCTTCAATTTCGTCACAATTCATTGACTCCAGTTTAGACAAGAACCCGAAAAGTGAACTGGTTTCCTCATAGGCCTTTAACTGTTGATCCAGTGAACTCAGGAACTGATCAATTGCTGGAAGGAAATTCTGAACCAGAAATTTTTCTGACTGTGAGAGGGCTGCTTCTTCTGATCGTCCATAATCCAAGGGATTGAGTCGTACATTACGTTGACGCTTGCGAGTCTGTAAATAATCCCTAGTTTCTGACATTTCCCTTCCCTTCTTCTCATAAACATGGAAGCAATCTCTTTTTTCTCGTACAAAACATTCCAAGGACTTCAGCATTGCTACTGCTGTGTTCAAATCGAGTTTAGGATCTTGCAATGCATGGCTTGTTGCATCAACTCTGCCAAGAATGTCATGCCAAAACACAGCATAAATAGCAGTCTCTAACTTGCACATCTTATCATGGAGACCATTGGCTTCAAAACATGTTTTGCTCGTCTCATTTTCATCTCTAGCTATTTTAGCAAGTGCTTGTAATATGTGAAGGCCCCTGGGCAGCTGCCCACTTTGCCCACTCCTGAATCCGGCCCTGGATGTTCGTGTAATAACTGCCTCGACAGGCGCAGGGGAGTCATTGACACAGCAGCAATTAGTTACGGAATCACTCTCTGAAACTCCACCTAGTGGCTCAAATGACATTTCGAATGAAAGTGGCCAGAACTGGATTCTAACGCCTGCTGTGTTAACTGGTGTACAATGGTTACATAGCCAGGAGCTAACTAGAGTCACAGTACGTTTGCCAAATATGAGTGAAGGAACATATGTTGTGGGTCTGAGTGAAAGTTCACGAGTGAAAGGTTTGTCACCTTAAGCACTGTTAGAATAGGTAGTCTCACAGATGTCCTCATTCTCAATAGAACTGGGGGACCCATAACCTTAAGAAAGGGATGTTGTTTAGGTAATTTCCTTGTTTATGACAAAGCAGTTGTCGAAGAGCCATTAGAATTACCAATAGGTAGTGTAACACAGGGTAAATCGGACGAAAAATCACATATTGTTAATAATGTAGGGTTGATAGCGCCACACGTGAAAGTAGTCGATCATCCTCGAGGCTAAGGTGATCTTTTAGAATTACTCGCCGAATTCAAGGAAATCATAGCATTACCTGGAGAACCCCTAGGTAAAAAAAGTTGACAAATCATTATATTCCACTCAAACCGGAAGCTAACCCAATCGACATCCCAGCATATAGGCTACCCCACAGCAGAAGAGTGGTAGTCCAGCAGGTAGTACAAGACATGGTGGACCAAAAGGTGATCCAACCTTCCTCATCACCATGGAACTCACCTTTATTTTTAGTTCCCAAGAAAGATGGAGGATGGAGACCAGTCATAGATTTTCGACGAGTCAAGCAGGTAACTGTACCAGACAGGTTCCCAATGCCTGTCCTAACTAACTTACTACAGTCACTAGGAAAAGACAACGTAGTCTTCAGCAACTTAGATTTACTTAGAGGGTACTGGCAAATTCCCTTACATGAGGATTCCCGCAAAATAACTGCGCTAAGCACACCTATGGGACATTTTTAATTCTTAAGAATGCCATTTGGTCTAAGAAATGTGTCGCTAACATTCCAAAGAATCATAAACACCTTGTTTGCTGGAATGATAGGTAACACAGTCTATGCCTATCTAGATAATCTTATCATAGTAAGCAAAGATTTACAAAGTCATCTAAAGAAGCTACGAGAAGTTTTCACAAAGCTACATCTAGCTGGATTGAAAGTGAAACTTTCCAAATGTGAATTTCTCAAATCCGGAATCCAATTTCTTGGTCACGTAGTGGTTGGCAATGGTATACACACAATAGATTGCAAGGTAAAGGCAGTGAAACAATTCCCTTGTCCCAAGAATGTAGATCAACTTCGTAGTTTCCTAGGATTATCAGGATACTACCGTTCTTTCATTGAAGGTTATGCCAAGTTAGCATCACCACTCACTAAACTCCTCAAAAAGGATGTGGAGTTTACATGGAATAAGGAACAAGAGGACAGTTTTAATGCCCTCAAGAGCGCCTTAACGAAAGCTCCAGTGTTATCCTTTCCGGACTACACAAAACCATTTACCATGTGTACTGATGGCTCGGGCCTAGGTTTAGGGGTGGTGCTCATGCAAACTGATTATCGAGGAAAATGGCAGGTAGTAGCATATGCCAGTCGCACCCTCAACGATGCAGAAACACGTTATTCAGCTACTCACTTAGAAGCATTAGCTGTAGTGTGGGCTCTCAAGCATTTTCGGGATCTCATTTTGCGATATCCGATCACAGTCCACACAGATCATGTTGCCGTGACAGAACTATTTAATGGGAAGAATTTATCAGGGCGTTTAGTGCGCTGGTATCTAACCATACAGGAGTTAGCACCGGACTTCAAGTATTTGCCGGGCCGTGCGAACGTGGTAGCTGATTCGCTATCTAGACACATAGCTCCTGTCACGCCACTACCTACGTTCACCCTGTCACAGTTAAGGCCGGAACAGTTACAGGATCCACTATGGTCCAAGGTTATATATACCTTAGAATCGGGAGATGAGGTAAATTTGCCAAACCTACCTCTATCACTCTCACAGTTTGAGCTGTGGCATGAAAAACTGTATCGCTCAGTGGAAACACAACAAGAGTCAATCTCTCAAATTGTTATTCCTACATCACTAAAGGAAAAAATTTTCACCCTCTTCCATGATGCACCCAAAGCTGGGCATCCAGGGCGAGATAGATGTCTAACAAAAATTAGACAAAAATATTATTGGAAATCTATGATGATCGCCATCGAGCATCACATTGCTAAATGTTTATCTTGTGCAAAACACAAGGGAACAACAATGGATCCCGCTCCAATCTTAGAATACCCGACGCCGGAACGTCCATGGGATACAGTTACGATCGATTTATTGCAACTACCAAAAAGCCATCAAGGCTCTTGTTACGCATTTGTCTGCGTTGACCAGTACGAATCAGTGGCTCATGCACTAGTCACTCATCTAATCTGTCCTTTCTCTACACCTTGGGTGATATTCTCGTATAACGGGGCAGAATTTAAGAATCAACTCTTAGCTGCTATATGTCAACAATATGAAATTACACAAACTTTCACAACCTCATACCATCCATCTTCAAATGGGTTGGTCGAGCGTGCGAATAAAAAAATTCTTGAGATTCTCCAACATGTGGTGAATCCAATGCATAGTTCGTGGGAGGACTGGCTTCCACAGGTTGCAGCATCCATCAATGGATATATAAATAGCCTTACAGGCAAATCGCCATAGTACATAATTTACGGTACCGATAAATGCTTACAGTCAGTTCTGCTATCACGCGATAGTTGTGTTCTTGTAAAACATCGTGTTATAGAAATTCGCGTAATAGAAATAACAGGGCTTATGGAGAAAATAGGGTTAGGTGCAGATTACTCAAAATAAAAAAAAATTTAGTAGTTAGCCTAACACAAAGGATAGCACAGTTTAAATAAATGTTACATTCATATCTAATAATGAAATCATACAGTAAATGTAACACTTTCCCTTGAAAAAATATGAATATAACTTGATGGGGGAGAAGGGAGATTTTGAGGTTGATAACATCGAGCTTCTCTTCAAGTGTTATAGCCTTTCTTTTACGATCATCACCGGGAATGCGATCACCAGAATGCTTCTTGGAGATATTCTTGTTTACCATATTCACAGTTAATACCACAAAATTGGAGAAATAGTAAGCAAAAATCGCGTTACAGCAAACAAGCGTTCGCGTTATACAAATATCGTTCTTCTATTCATAAATTGCGTTAAGAGCCAATTCGCGTTGTCAAAACACGCGTTATAGCAGAACTCACTGTACCATATGATTTACTAACAGGAATTCCAAAACCTGTGTACAACATGGATGACTATGCCAAGAAACAAATCAATCTTTTCACGAGCATCCAGGGAAAAGTACGAAAACACTTAACAGCCTCACGTGCTGAAATGATCTGCAAGCAACATAAAAAAGCTAAGCCTATAAAATTAGAAATAGGAGACAAAGTGATGATAAAAGCGCCGGAACGCATATCAAAACTCTCGCCTAAATTCACAGGTCCGTACGTGATTAGAGCGAAAAAACACGTTAACAAATTCCAAGTCGTTGAGCCAACGTCAAATGTTACAGATATAGTACATGTTGATAGGATGAAAAAAGTCAGCAGAGACTAAGTAGGGACTCCAAATGTCTGTCAAGTACATCCTACTTCAACTACAACAGTTGCTCAACCAAATATAACGATAGATAATACATATCGTCAAAAACTACGATCAGCAATCACTAAACGTTAATTATCCTCGCCTATTTCAGACATGGCTTGGATATCACTAATACTGTTGGTCTGGAGCGTGGTGACAACAGCCGCCTCCTCAGCAGAAGTCGTCAAACCCGGAGCCTTAGTTGCCCCACTAGGCAAAGTATTAATAGTACAAGACGTTGTCACTATCAAAGACGAGCTCCGTGACTTAAAGCGCATGCCAGTGCATCTGAGGTCGGTAGCTGTCCCCATTGAAACAGCTATACAAACCTTACAAGATCTCGAACAACAATCTGCATTCTCTACAACAATCCGTCAGACCATCTCTGTTCAACACGACCGTATGAACAGTTTACTCAAATGAGTAAGGCATTTCGAGGGAAAGCTCCCAGTATCTCCTAAAGACATCGGGAAAAATGTACATTCTCAGCGACGTCAAAAACGTGGTCTGATTAATTTTGTAGGTTTAATAAGTAACACCTTGTTTGGTACGGCAACCGCCGAAGATGTGGCCAACTCGGAAATAAAATGAGTGCAGTTTCAGATGCGGTTAGGAAAAAAAATAGGGCCATTGCACAGTCCTACAAGGCAATAAAAACTCTGACTTCTCACATGAATGATATTGTTGAACGAACTAATAAACTAACACAAATGGTCGAGGGGTTCATTCGGTCAGAATCTACACTGGAATGACAACTCTGCTTATCTGAATACATGCATGCTGCTGAGGCCTCTGTACAATCTTTCATAGAAACCAGTAATAGGCTCATTGCTGATCTTGTAAATGCAGGGTTAGGACGTGTTGACGCACAGTTGTTGCCGGTTCATCAACTAATTGCAACGTTGCATATACAGTATCTGAAACGAATTATCATCTGACTCCTATCTTTCCGGAGCATGAAGTGGAATATTATTATCCCTTATTAGAATCAACATTAACACATGCAAATACTAATACACATTTCACTAAAATCACAAAAAAAAAAATTTAATGCATGGCATTTGGAACCATTTCCACTAAAAGCAAATGAGGGAATATTAATTCTGAACAAACAAACTGAACTGAAGTCCTAAATCATTATAAATCAACATATTTGCATCTGCATATTTGTCCGACGTATGC